ATGGAAAAGTTAGGCCAACGGGTGCTATTATTTGAAGAATAGAATGGGGCGGAGGATATACACTTCCTTGGAAGACTAATATATAAGGTATACATTCTTCTCGACCATTATTAAATATATGAGAAGAAGACATTTCTCTAGAGTATCACTGCCTGAACAGTAGGAAAATCCAGGAAATCCCTATTGTGGAGTCGTCAAGATTTAGAGCAAGAAGCACCATAATTTAAAAACAGATATTTAGTAAGAGATAATAGAGTGGATGTAGCGGTATTCTTGGAGGGATTCCAATCACTAAGCATTACACATATATAAAAAATACGAGATGCCTCCGGTATATTTGTATTAACTGTAAGAATTAGCCTTACAGCAACTGTTTAGAGGATAAACCTCTGTCAAGGGTAATATTCTATGTAGAACAGTGCTGTGTGAGGAGGAAAATTTTTTAAGATAATACAAAAGTTTAGAGAGTTGGATTCCTTGGGGAGGAAGGAAGTTCTAAAAATGCTGCCATATCACCAATACACTGGCTTGTAAAATAATTCCATTCCAGGAATACGCATATCCCAATCCTAAGGCTATTCATGCTGTATAAGGGACTGAGACATACTATCACTAGAATGGGTTTTAAGATACCCAGGGTGTCTCAATATAGGGAGCACATCTTATAGCCCAAGTAACACTGTAAGTACAGTAATATGTCGTGAACTGTGATTATTCCCTCTCAATATTATTGTGATATAGATTCAATAATTATCCGGGTACTATTAAGAAACAATGATTACGGAAGATTTGCGCACCTGCCTTAATCTGTATCATCTTCCTCTTAACAAGACTAGAAATCGATGGGGTACTATTAAAATATAACAATTATGTAGGATGAAAGATTAAACTTCTTATACCCTAGGGAGGAATAGGAAATTATAAAAGAAATAGTACTATATAGAACGGGCTGTTTCTCGTGAAGAGTTAGGAATAATAATAACATCGAAAGAACCAAGGGGATAAAATAAGCATAGGAATAAGAGTACACATAAGATATTAAAGAGTCATTAATCCAAAAGGGGGGGGAGCAACCATATAGGAGCGGATGACTATAATAAAATGTATATACGAATACAACTGACATATTTGAGAGAATTATCTACTTCAAAGGACGGAGAGAGATATATGTAACAACATATAAATACACCACAAAGCAGTAGAGATATAAACATGACGATCAGAGTGGAAATGCTTAAGACGAGAGGTAAATAACAGATACATACAAGGGAGGACGCACGACAGGAAGACAGGAAGGAAAAAATGCTAAAAGGATGAAGATTACACACTACACCCAAAGCATAGAACCCAGAAAAACAGTAGGGATGACACCTAGGGAATAATGTGGGGACCATATCTTTCTCTCTGACAAAATAGATATATGAAGTCGGGGGTTTCATGTTTTCTAATCTATGGACAAAGCAATAAAAGCAGCAAATCTCTTGAATTTGTGCAGACATCCTGAAGTATAATAAGTCGTACAGTAACCTTATTTTTGTTCGTATCTAAGACTATAAAAAATGCTATAAGGGCTGTTTCCTTATTAACCACTCAAGAATGTAAAATGTTAAGTGGTATTCATAACCCCTTTTATGCATAAGGGAGTATAAGCATATACAATGCATACATTCCCCTATTGAAGTAAAAACCTGTCCTATAAAGGAGTCTTACGCCCCCATAGAATTATGAGGTTCTTCTAAAAAATGAGAGCAAGTGAATAAATACATGATCACTTTGGCAGTGATATTGTTTTTATATGAGTTTTAAGTGTAATGCTATATGGGCATATAAACGATAATAGAAAAGTTCCCTCCATTAATAATGAGTTAAATAGTTTTATGAATCTATTGTTTGTTATTCCACGTGATTAATTAACCCAAATTTTCGAGACAATTCGTCAATTGTTGTGAGGATAATCTGAGTGAACAGGGAACTATTTATGTTTCGATTCATTATCATAATATACATTTAAGCCCCAGGTGGCAAAAGAATAACTGTTTAAATAGCTGGATACACAATGTTGTGGCTGATAGGATATTTTCTTTGCTATATAGCATATCATGAGGGAACATATGGAAACGGCTGTCGTGACCTGCTAAGCAGTAAATAAGGAAAAGCATATAAAATAGAGAGGAGAAATCATATAATGGTTAGGAATTTACTGATAGGAAATAGTGTATATTATAAGAGACACGGAGGGACACAACAACACTCCAAAGAGACAGAACCAGAGAGGAAAAGGATATGGGATATCCGCCATGACAAAATAGATCAGGCAATAGAGGCCCCTAAGTAGGGAGGGCTAGTGTAAACCAAAGAAGGAAAGGAGCGCCAGGGCACCTGAAAACTAAGAGGCGGAGCCAACACTAGCCGAGGGGCAGGACTATGAAAACTGAAACAGGTTTAATAAAGTAGATGGAACAATAAGACCTATGAAAATGGAAATCATAAAAGGATCTTTAGGAAAATCAGTATACAGTCATTACTAAGGAGAGGAGAAACAGAGGAAGCAGCAGGAAGGATAAAAGGGAGAGAACAAGAATACAGGAAAGAACAAGAAAACAATATCCCAATTTTCCCCCGAGTATGCCTCTACAGGAAGGATCCGTATGAGAAGTATACCATCGTATATTATAATTTACAAGAAGACTAGAAGGAGAAAGATACTACCATGAGGGGGGGGGAAGCGAAAAGGGCAGCAAAGGAAAATTAATGCGACAAATATAGACGTGGGGAATCATGGAGAACTCCTTGCGTAAAAAAATCCAAAGCCAAACCGGAGGAAAAGAATAGTTAGAATTATATATGATTAAAAGCAAACAATCCAGGGAGAATCACCTGAACAGTACGGGTACAGATCCACTAAGGATAATACAACTAAATCTCGAAGAATGAACTATAGAGCAGCGAACTCCCCCAGCCTGTGGAACGAATAGGAATAAGTATATCTCCCGAGAGGACTTAACAGGAGTTCACTGAGGCCTATATGGAATACTTATAGGGTAAAGGATTAATAGGAAAGGGTGTCTCAAGCTAGAAAAGAGAGCCATGGGGGGCTAGAAAGGGGAGAAATCAGAACTCAGCATTATAGAGTGAAATAGGGGTATTTTTATATAGAAGGAATATAGTGAATAAGGACTCTAAAATAATTCTTGCAGTTAAACCCAAGCCGTACTGACAAATGGAGTGCAAACCCCAAGGAATAACAAGTTAAAGATAAGAAGGACAATCCGGAACCACCTCAGCCCCCCCCTGAGGAATACGATGGGATAAGTAAAGCGCAGACGTCGAAACCCCAAGACCAAACAGGTGAAAAGGGATAGGACAGGGGGCGTTAAGTAGTAAAGGCATTATTCGGGGGCGCCACTGAAGGCAACTATATAAAAAGAACCCTACGTGGCGTGCGAACTAGTGTATCTATTACCCAACACCAACTAAACACCTCGTATCCATCCCACTACAGAGGGCTGGAAAGTAATAGGTTAGGATTAGCGGGGGACCGGCTAGGAATAAAGCACGTAACGAAACCCCCAAGATCAACACACTCAGATGAACAGATAGATTACCCGACAGCAATGGAGGTCAAAAGGACAAACCAGAAGAGAAGGTAGAAGACTAACCAACACAGGAGGCAGAAGCAGGTGAATCAGCAGAAGTATGAAGCAACAAGGCCATATGCAACACCCCACTCTAAGACAGGGGAGCCTAAGGGGGATCGTGACACCACCCGAAGAGGAATCAATAAAAAGGAGTTAGTGACAAAGGAACAGAAGCAAAAGAAAAAAATACATCCCAAGTGTTGAACCGAGAGGACGACCGAATGTGAGGTGATAATGCTCGAGGCCACCAGACAGCTTCATTAATAGGGAACGGCTTAACCAAATGAGACTGGCCCATCAGGGAGGGTATAGACCAAGAAAACATATATGCGGATATGATGAACAAACACCAAAGCAGATGTTTATCGGCGGGAGAATTAAATAATATGAAGCCATCATTAATACCCGGAGAATGAATACCAGAGGAAGAGTAAAAATTACAGGTCAGGAAATGAGAATAGAAGGAATGCCTAGCGGCCAGACCCGGAGTAGTCAACTCAAAAGCAGCATAAGATTCCTTAGGGTAATACGGAAGAAAATTCGCTTAGCATAGACGGAGACAAAGGGGGGGAAGGATCGGGCAAATTATATAACAGGAGAAAGGAAAACACCGAACGCCTAGGGCTTGATAGAGGCTGTAAGGACACCGTTATGCAAGGTTCATGTAACCGGCAATCCACCGCTGGAGCCAAGGACAGGCGGGGTAAGATTTAAATCAACGAAAACCCCAAAACCGAAATTAAGGGAGTCAGGCCATTCTGCAGGGGTAGAGAAGCAGGAAAGATTCCTGTACTTTTAGGCGACAGGGATGGCGTATAGACCAGGGAGGACGAAAAAGGCGAAATATACAGGAGGCAATGCAAAACCCCAAGGGGTCACCCTGCAGGAGGCAGTCCTCGCACTATCTCCTGAAGAAAAAGTGGTTAAAACCCTTGTAGAAGGGGAAACGGTAGAATAAAGGATATTAAGAGGCAGAGGAAATTCCTTAGGAGAAATAGAAGCTTCGAATTATACTAAACGAAAAAGAATGAATAAGTGACGGAGCCGAGAAAGACAGGTTGCCTATACCCCTATAACGCCAAGCAGTGAGGAAAACATCTGACAAGTCAGCCATAGAACCATAGTCCCAGAGACACAGAAAACAGCCCCTCCTGATAACCGAGGAATAAGGAAAGAAAAAACCTTCAGTCAGGGAACAGGAGAACTAGAAAACAACTCCACGGAACAGGACCAGGGCGATAAGGGCAAACAGCACGCCCCCTCTGACTTAAGGGGGGGGGGGCCAATAAAACAAAGTTTTTCGTTAACCGATGACCTTCAAGAATCCAGGAAAAGTGCATAATAAATAAGAGGATAGACGCCAAAGACTTAGATGTAACAGATTATATAACAGGAGTCATGAAAGGGAGGAGACCAGTGCAGACTCTCCCCTTTCCTTTAAGCAGTAGATACTCGTAACATTCCGACGAGGAATGGGATGATAAGACATTTAAACCTAAATGGAGGATGCCAGGGCGGCAAATCCCAGGACTCAAAGGGAACCGGTGAAAAGTCATTTCCTGGCCAAGTAGTAATTGATAACCCACCAGTGACTGAGGATGACCTCAACTACACCGACCAATACCCGGCAAATGGCAAGGAATATCTCAAAAACAGTTTCCTGAGGAAGGAGCCTAAATATAAGACGAGGAACGACGCAAGGATACAGACAGCATGAGATGAGTCAGACGCCAAGCGAAGGCCCTACTCAAGGAACAATAACTTAGAAAACGTGACAAGTGCAGGAATGCCGAACCGAAAGTTTGCAATTCACCAGAAAGTTAATTGAGAGTAATAGGAAGTCTCGATTTAGTTGGATGTAGGGCTAATGTGCAATAAAACAGCGGGGTGCAACCTATTATTCTAGATGCACTAAGTAAATCCGAAATCATACCAATTTGGGTTCCATGTTGCCGGAACCTAAATAATCCGAATACACAGGAGAGAGTATAATCCAATAAAGGAACCAACGAGCCAAAGGAGGTTTCCCTGACCAGCCGAGCAAAAAAAGGGTTAGTATGAGCATATACGACCGAGAAGACGCCGTATTCAAATAACTCTCCCGAGGCAACTCTACGCCTAAAAATAAAAAGGAGAAACCCAAGCACCCACCCCTTGAAGCAGTTAAATGATAAGATATAACCCCCGTACCTCTACCACAGTACTTGAAGAGAAACCAACCGTAAGCCAATCCGCCCTCCAGAAGGGCGGGGAGTTACAGCAGGGGTCTCAGGCAAATAAACCAGAGCCTAACAGGGAAGAAATGCCCAATATATTCCTTAGCTAAGGAAATCCACACCAAGGGACCTAATCGAACAACTATTATAGAGAGGGAGAAAGTCTTATTTTCATCAGGAGACCAATAATAAGGGGCCGCAAGAATTAGCAACAAGCAGCCCATCTCACCTGAAACAATAGAAGAGAAGCAAGAATCAGTTTTTAGGAACAGCCGGGGGGAGGGCTAGATGAGGACAACAACAACTGTTTTAACCTTGAAGGCTCCTTCAATTAAGACTAGGAAGAGGCCCCTAAACAACAGGCAGGGAATATAATAGAATAAACGGGCCCGAATCCCACAGAACCAGAAGAAAAGCCAGGATCAGATTAAAAACACAAATGATCACATAGTAGAGAAGAAGGATGCAGGGCCAGGAAAAGGACAAGGCAACCAAGAAAACCAAATGGAAAGGAAAAAGTCGGCAAAAAAGAAGCAACTCTGAACCACCTAACAGGTGCCTGCGAATAAGGATTAATAGGAAGATCAATAAGCCAACCAGCTGAGAGTGTGACAAAATGAAATATCACCTCCCAAATATAGGATCCCACCCAAAAACCAGAGAAACCCGACTGTGAAATTGAAAAAAGACACTAAAAAGTCTCAGAATCATAAACCGAGTAACAACCGGCTAATTCATTAACCGCAAAAAGAATACCAGAGACCACTACGGAAGGGACTAATTATCGTATGTTGGTATAGAAGCTAATTGCGAAAAACCTAAGAGCAATACTATATAATCCTATGAACCACAAAGTGAATTTGAGCCCAAGAAAGATAAAACAGAAGATATAATCTCTGAGGACAGCTCGTTGAAGATTCCTTAACTCAAACAAAGGACAACGGGGGACCTAAAAACTAAAGAGCAAGGGGGTTCTGATTAATCCCCCAACGAAAAACAAAGGAAATAAAAATAAATCAAGAATAACCTCGTGTCACTAGTGTAAAGTGGAGTAATCCAAAACAAAAAGGGCACTCCAGGTGTGTAATAGTACCAGAAAAACTGACAACTCCTCCAGAGAATTCAGGACACAGCTGGCCCCCGATTAGGGAACAATAACGGAAACATCAGCTTAGGAAGAATAAAGATGGGACCCCTAGAATGCTAAATCCGACTGGCCGCCCGCCTGAAATCTGAGGGACCAGAAGACTCTCTTTGAAGAAGCAAATCTGGAAGATAAAGTTCATAAGAACCCGACATGAATTATCACTAAAAACAAACTGAATAAGAAAAACAAATCTTAGGCAGTACACTGTTTAAAATCTGCCTGGGCGGCGAAATCGATATTACCGATATAACAGCGGAATCCAGGGACGGCGGAAAAATGCAACCCGACGCAGGGAGAATATGGAATTAGAACTCTTCACAAATAACGGAGAACACCAGGAAGAAGAAGAAGGTTGAAAACAAAAAAAGCTAAAGAAATGAAGCAAGCCCAGATCAATAGCGGAGTCACCGGCACCAATGGGATTAGGCTGCTGAGAAATCCAAAAAATATAAATCAGAGGACCCTATTATGTTAATAACAGCAAAAGAATCAGGGAAATCTCGTCTGCAGTAGTAGGAACAAAGCTTGATATAAAAAAGTCACGACAGGAGGAAACCAAGGCGCCCGATGTATGAAGAATATGATTAGTCGCAAACAGTAAGTGGGAAACAACACAAACATGAAAGACACACAGGGGAGAGATGATGATGAGGATAGGCAAAGTCAGCAATAGACTAAACATCTCAAGGGGCAAATTAGCAGGCAGCGGAACCTAGGTAATCCTTTAGCAGTGGGAAGGAGAAATTAACTATGAGATAAAAAAAGGCCAAGAACGAGTAGAGAGGGAAATAGCCTATAAATAAGGCAGTAGTGTGAAAAGAAGCGAATAGGGAGGAGCAGGTCCTGAGGAAGAAATAAATAAGAAGATACTCTATGAAAACGAAAGGGTAAAATAACTTCAACCAACCCACCCCTTGGCGAAAAAGTCGGAATAATAAGAGAGTGAAAAAGGAATTATCAAATTCCAGTGGCCTAGGTGTATTTTTAAGGGTGCTTAGTGTTAATAGTAACTGTCACAATTTAAGTACAGGACTCAACAAAGAAATCTGAAGCAAGCCATAAGGAATAGGGGACTAACGAGGTAATTTTAGTCTACTATAGGATTATGAAAAGAATGAAAAAGTAAAAGAAAGCAAGACCCGACGGGAAAGTCCTATTAAGGTGAAATCGCTCTTGGCCTCCAACACTGACTACATTAATTCACAAATGGCAACCAAAACCAACTAAAATAATGTTCCATTAAGAAGAAGGAGTCCGCAAGTCATGATCAGGAGGGGGGACGTGAAATTTGGGACAAGATTCCAGCAAGATGTAGATCTACATGAAATAGGAACACAGTGAGGACCAAAAAAGCGAATTTGTGGAATAGCACAGGTACTACCAGTCTAAATAAGAAGCATAACATAAAATTCCGACAAGAATACCAAACACAACATGGTGACAAGAAAGTGAGATGAGTAATGCAGGAGGAGAAAATGATAGGGCAGAGGCAGCTCAACCGTTAATGAAGAAATTAATGTGCCGGCGTAATCAGGGGAAGAATGAACACGGCCCTAAATCCCTTTTACCCATATACAAGGATGGGGGGCGGGGCAAGGTGGGGTAAAGGAACAGAATGTAAAGCAAACTTCAGCCGTAGCCCTCCCCTTGAGGAGAAGTTAGAGGACGGGTTACCCACCGCCGCAGGAGGGGATAAAGAATCTGTGCAGGAGCAAGGGACCGTATGAGCAGGAAATAAACATCTGGGATGAAAAATCAAGGATCAAATGGACCAGCGGAGAGATTGGTCAGCAGGAGTAGGAGATAGTTACCAACTCCAGAGCAGGTCAAATGAGGAATGATGTGATATGCATAGGGCTTTAAGGGCAAGCCCACAACAAACAACAACAACAGACTAGATAACAGAACAGGGAATAGTAAGGAGGGAGAAAGGGGGGGACGAGGTAAAAAACAACCAAGTCCAAGCGTAAACACCTCGCGCGAAATGATCGCAAAACATTGTAACTCTCTGTGCGATATAGATAAGAAGAAGGCTGACTAGAGTTTTCCGGATCCGAGACAGGGTGTTAAAAGGACACCCGCCGGCCAGGAGTTATCGTTTATTCACCAGCAGGAATAAAGCCAGCATACAGCCGGTAGGTATGAGTCAATTCTGTCCCGAGTTAATCGGGGCGGGGGGAACCAGAAACGGAAACTAAACTAGGAGACGGAAAACACAGGAACCGTGCAGGATCTGAATTTCTTTCAAAAACGGAGGGGGGAGATAATCTTGGGGGGGGAATAGGTGAGGGAAAATCTAGTCGAGAGGAAACAAGGACCCCTCAACATAGAAAAGGGTGAGAAGAGAGATTAGACGAGCAATACAACTGAAGCTGAACACAGCAAAAGCGTCCCTGAGTCAGCCGATTGCGTTAAGATTCCGGCTTGAATACAGATGAAGCAATTGGGGGGACTCCACTAGGCCAAGGGAAGGGGAGGTACAAGGGAGACTTCAAGGAACCACGAGCCGAATAAATTAAATAAAAAGTCTGGGAGCCGGTGACGGGGAGCAAAGAAAAGGACAAAAAATTCCGGAAGAGATAGAGTAGCTTCTCTGTATAGGCAGGAAGAAATGGCCCGAGTGGTAAAAACCGGGAGAAACATCAACTAGAGAATATCCTACAGCTATAGGTTCCAGCTGGATTAGGGCGGGAGTACGAGTGAGGAAACAGAAAAGGAAAAAGGGGGACAGTACCACCCTCGTCTCTTGGCCCCCCGCCTCCAGGAAATTGGACTAGACCCAGGAGGAAAAACCGCTAAAGAAAAAAGATGAGTAATCTATTAAGTTTCAGCAAATATATTACGAGTATAAGGGACAAGTTTGCAAAAGGCAAAGGTTGCCCCAACACAAATGACCTTAAGAGAACATTATGTCTGATAAATACAGCTGGCCAGGGCCAAGGGATCCAAGGGAAGATGGAAGCCTCAATACTAACCGAAGGGGAAAGGGAAGGTTTAGAGCAGGTACTGAAGAGGAGCAGGAGCATCTGTTTAGGATTGGAGGTTTGGGCGGCTAATTTAGACGTCCAAAGCACGGGCAATAAATATTTGTTAACCGAAAAGGATTGTAAGGCCAATGATACGGGACATGGGGTTGGTAGTGGCGGAGCGAAAGGTAGATGTGACACGAGAGACACAAGCCTAAAATGGACCAACTGGAAGGACACATTCCCGAGCAGATGGAATACAGAAGACGAGAGGAGTTTTAGGGCGTGTGTCGATATCGTGGAGATGATAATAGCAGCATTTAGGATAAAGGCGGGAAGTGCGTCGACAACAGGAACTGGTACGTTAGAGAAGGGGGGGTGTGCGAAATTGAGTAAAATGTTATCTAAGTGGTCGGATGAAACCGTAAGCGACCTAATAATGCAGGGGTGGTTTAATGATGGAGTGCGGGGTGCCTGGGAGTGGAACCAGTATAAGATGAGCGGGAAGGATTTCTTTGATATTGTGCAGGAATTGATATATGGGGATAACCAGGGGCATAGGGATATAGGGTGTAGAAAGAAGGGAGAAGAACAAAAGGATTTATCAGATTGTGACGGTCCGTGGTGTTATGTGGACTTACAGGGGAGCCGTGAGATAGAGGAAAACAATGGGGGGCATCAGGGTCCCAATCGATGCCCCCAGGCAGCCGATTGCGGACTCCAGTCAACTATAGTCAAGAGCAGCCAGGAGACTCAGGAGGGAACATGCACTGCCGGAGGGGAAACTGAATGTCCGAACAATGCTATCTCCATGGAGGAGGGGTCTCTGGAATCAGGAAACCCAGCAGGAGAAGCAGGGAAAACCTTCGGCAACTCGACCTCAAATGAGAACAGTTCCGAAGCTTCCGCTGTTCTCGGACCAGTGGGTTCTGTATTGGGGGTAGTTTTAGCTATGGCTTCTGGTTATGGCATTTATAGGATTTTCTTGAGGAATCGTAGGAGGAGAAATAGGAGAAGGAGCAATAGGGGCGTGATGAGCGAGGATACTGCAGGTTCGCAAGGAGCATTCGCAAGGTCCCTTAAATTTGGTGCACTCGTATAAACACAGTGATCTAGTGACCTGGACTTCATTTATGAAGTAGTCTCTATGGGATTTGGAATCTAAGCTTAGCTGTACTCGCCGGAGGGCAGGGCAAAATCACTTTGTAAAGGGCGGAGCAGAAAGGAAAGATATCAAAGTTGTTGAAGCGTGATGCGATATTTAGGGATTAATGACCGATTGGCAGCGAAAGGGAGGCATTGCATCACGGGGAATCTTGGATACAGAACTGGAACGTTAGTACAACAGGAGGAGCGAAATTAGGGCTTATGGGGGTGTCCTTGTAGGAATGGAAGCACCATATCCCGTGGAGGAGTGGTTTGGAACTGTCCAGACGGCTAATTCCATGGTGAATAAGTCTTCTTTGCCCTAATGTGGGGGGTAGACATCCGCGCTTGAGAGTCTGCTTTTACTGTGCCGATTAGAGAGTTATAGTCCAGGATTCGCCTTCAGTCATAAGTATAGGGGGGAGTTCAGGATCTAGGGTTTTGGGTGTATGTTTTGGGATTCGGTTTAGGGTTTAGGTTTTAGGGTTTAGTTTTCGAGGTTAGCCCTTAGGTGAATGGGTTTAAGGTCTAGACTTCACGCTTTAGGTTTAGTTATTTAGGGATTAAGATTCAGGGCTAATGGCTCCGGGCTTAAGCTCGTTTGATTAGGATTCCTGGATTGCGGCATTGTTCGGTTGTTGAGGGTTTATGGTTTATGGTTTAATGTTTATTCTTCTCGGTCCAAGGATTAGGGTTTAGTCTTTATTGGTCAGGCTTGAGGTTGCTGGTTCAGGGATTATGCCGTCTCCTTTAGATTTCTGGCGTTTGGTTCTTCGGATATAACAATTGGGGTCTTGGGTTTAGGTTCTGGGCTTAGGGTTCACGGCTTTTTGGCTTAGGTTTAGGGTCTAAGTTTCAGGGATTTAGGATACCGAGTTTAGCGTTTTGTTCTCAAGGTTCCTGGCTCAGTTTGTATGGTGTTAGAGGTCAGGATGCGAGGTTTAGATTTTACTGTTCATGATTTGGGGGTTGAGGGCTCAATATTTAAGTTTTATGTTTCGGCCTCACTGTTTATGTTTCGGCGTTTAGGTTTTATGATTCAGGGTTTCAGGGGGTAAGCTCTTTGTTTTATTTCTTAGCTCCAGGTTTTAGTCCTTAGGTTTACGGTTTAGTGTTCTGGGTTTAGGCTTTGGGCACTGTCTTCTTCCTGTAATTAAGTGTTTCAGGCTACCCGTGCATATTGTCTACACCTCAGTTGGTACCCCCTACTCTCCTTTTCCCTGGACGAGTGCTTACGGCTTATTCTTGGATTAAGCAAGGTTAGGATCTACTCTTCATGGATATTGCTTTAGTCCTTTGGGGCTAATTCTTTTCAGTTGACTTGTTTGAAGATAGCGGCTTGATTACGGCTTGGCTGTTACTTCTCCGTTTCGCGGGGGTAACATTTTTGTTTTACTTCATACGACTTATATTTTATGGATATTCACCTACTCCTTCTCCTGTCGTGAGTTTCTGCTGATGGTAAACCTTCCCAGGGTTTTCTTTCACGGATAGGTTTCCGATATCAGGTTCCCTTTTTTTGAGCTTACTGTTGTTCCTTAATTTTTCAACCCTCATGATTCTGCTCTGTTGGTTTCTTCTTTAAGAATTGGGGGTTTCTCTTCTGGACTTAAAATTGGTTGGGATTGTACGAGTGTTCTGTTTAGCTCTTATGGTATAATGATAAGGGGGCAACTTCTTTCCGGTTGCACTATTCTGTTGCGGCGCCGCTCAGGTCTATATGCTCCTTATTCTTAGGATTCCAACTCAATCCTCACTTCCTGGCTTGAATATCAATGGTGCCGTTGTTGGGCCCTCCCTGTCCTTGCTGCTATGGTTCTTCTCACTTCGGTGCCACTCTTGTTGTGCGGTACAAGCTGTTATAAGGTTCACTCGAGAGGATTGGCCCCCTTTTGTTCTTTCGAAATTGAGGTGCCCTTCCTAGTTTGCTTCCTATTCCATTAGAGGGTCGATAGATCCTTCTGTTCTTGCTTAGACGTTTGGGGGTAGGGTATAGACTCCGCAGCTGTTTCCTTCGTGACTGGCTCCCGTCATTTCTATTAGGAAGACTTGGTCATTCCCTAGGAGTTTGTTTCTAACCTGTAATTTTAGGTTTTATCGTTTACGGTTTATAGGGTGGTTGGGAGGTAATAATTCTTTGACGTCAGGGGTTTACGTCGTATGTTTTATTGTACAGGAAGTATCTCTGTCTTTCTAATATCTGGGTTTCAGCCCTCAAGGTTCTGCCCACAAGCGTGATGCTCCACTAATTTGTTTTTAGCTCTACCCTTCGTATTTGTTAACTTCCGGTAGTAAGAAGTAAACACCCGTTTAATATCTAGGCCCCAGGGTTTTGATCAGAGTTTTAGGTGTCCTTTAAGGGTTCTGAATTCGGGATCAGCATTCTCTTCCTGGCTTGCATGCTTTGAGTTCACAGTTGGAGGGGTATTTTGTTTATTTTATTAAGCAGGTGTCTGTACCTTGGGGCCTACAGAGAACAGGCTTTCTCCTTAGTTTTGGCCTGTATTCTGAGGAGTTAAGGGGTTTTTCTGGATTTCGGTTTGGGCTGTAATCTGCTATTGCTTATTTATAGATTTTATACTGTATGACCTAAGGCTGCGGACTTAGTTGTTTCTCTTGATGCCTGGTTTCCAGACTGGAAATTTGAGGGCTGACTTCTGAGGATTCAGGAATTCAAGTGGGAACTTGTATCTTACACGGTTGATGATTGAGGTTTAGGGGTGGACGGTTCCCTGTATATTGTTTGGCTCATTTGCATAGTCCCTGAGTCATGTGTCAGTTTTTAGGGGCTATTCTTATCTTTAGACTCCGGATCTTTCCTCCACTATTCGCGGTTTCGGAAGGACCCTTTACCTTCTATCGGCCCTTCCTGAGGGTGCCGTTCTCCTTTCGTACGGATTATGCTTAATTTATAATTGTTCGTGTGCTGTCTTCTAGGCTGCTCCGTTTCAGGGTCATAACTCGGAGGCGTCGCTTTTCCTCTAGGATTCAATTTGTTAGGTATGCGCGCTTAGGCTTTACCCGGAGTTTTTACATTGAGATTTTATGTTCATGGTGCAAGACTATTGCGCTAAGTTTAGAGTTTATTTGTTAGGACCTGATTGTTTCCGCTTCGAGGTTTATAGTTGTTGTCTATTGTGGCTTCAGATATCAGTAACTCCTCAGGTCCCATCCTTCAGGGATTAGGCTTTAGCCCAGAATGCTTAAGTTCCTGATTTTAGATGTACACGTCTGGGTTTGATTTTTCCTTTTGTCTCTTTATTTCCTCGCCCTTAACCTTTAGAGGGCGTGAGGTATGCCCCATCTTTTAGTGGGAAGGAAGTAGCTTGCATTTTACAGGCACTGGGGGAAATAGGCAAAGCTTAGGCTTAGAAATTGGAAATGTACATCGCAGAAGTATGCTTTTAGTTGTTTCTTCTTTTCTTTATTATATGGTCTCTATTTCGTACTGCTTAAACTGGGCGTTCGCCCTCCTGTGTGAGACTTCTTCCTGTTCGCTTTTTTGCCTAGGCCTCCTGTGGTCCCCTTATCGTCTCCTTGGGCTTAGAGCCCTGTAATTTTGAGGGCTGCAATTTTATGGAGTCGGGTTAAAGAGTAAACTTCTCTTTAGATTTCTTATCGCTATTTCCTGGTTGTCACCCTTGAATTGTACCGGGCTACGTCTTAGGACGTAAGCACCCTTCTCATCCGGGTCCTACTCATGGCATTGCGCCATCGCTTTATGGTGGTTTGCTGTTGTTTGAAGTTTCCTTGTTCACTCTGTACTCCTCAATATTTAGGATTAATGCTTGATTTCTTATCCCCCTAGTTCCACTCTTGAGTGTAGTGTCCAGGCTCTATTTCCTAGTTTTTTGCCTTCATGTTCTGGTGTATTGATGGGGGGTTCCCCCTATCCCTTATCGCTTATTAGTATTGTAGAATAAGTTATTTTAGGCGGGTAAGACTCACTTCTTATGCGCCTTTGGTACTGTGATCATTCTTAGGTTGTTATGGTGTAGGGTGTAGTCCCTGGGTTGTAGCTTCTGGGTGTTAGGCTGTATATTTCATGGCTTAGGTTTTACGGATTATCAGTGAGACGCGTTCTTTAGCGTGCATTCGCACTCTCTATTCTTTATTTCTAGGGTTAATTCCTTACATATATTCCCCTATTTCTGTTGGCCGTGTTTATTTCCTATCTCCTTAGGCTGAGATTCTTTTGTCATATCTTGACGGTATATGGTTCAGATTTCCTGGTGGCGGACTCAACTTCACTGTTTAGGACTTAGGGGATACCTTTAGTTTTTATCTCTGTTTGATGAAGTGTAGGGTTGTTCTTGCATGCTCTAGGTTTACGGTCTATACTGTTTGTGTACTGTGCACTGTTCAGGTGTATGTGCTATGATTCATGCTCTAACGTGGTTTGGTGTATCTGGTCCTATTCTTCTTCAGAGTATTCCCCTGAATTTTTCTGCGTCAGGGATCCTGTTTAGGTTCTACAGGTATGAATTTGCGGCCCCCTTTTTTATTGCTTCTCTTTTACTTTTTAGCGTTTTGATATTTGTTGTATTAATTGGCTTCTAACGTCGAGTCGTTGTGTCGTATGATTTCTTGGGCAAGCTTTATGGTTAAAGGCTTATCCTTCCTGTTTCTGGTTTTTTCATCAGCCTCTAAAGTCTATTCTTTACGGTTAACCATTTAATGCTGTCCACTCCGGATTCACAGTTTGGACTTTAAGAAGTCCCTCACAAGCATCATTGCCTACTGTGCGTTCCCATGTGGTGCCCGTTCCTCCTGGATTTACTTTATTATTTCGTTCTTCCTGGGGTAATCGTGCGCCGTTTGGCTGTTTTTACGGCACCTTCTCTTACCTTCTCTCTATGGTGTCTTTTTAGGTGTCTGGGAAGATAGAAGAGGAGATATATTTGTAGATTCCTTATTATTCTCCCCATATTCAACATATTTTAAGCGTGTTAATAT